GAAGTTTTCGCGCATATTTCTTCATACAATCTCGACACCGTGTCGCTCATCGCTAAATTTTTTTTTTTAAAAAAAAGGTATTTTACATTTGGCATGAAATAAAGGCATTTTTCGATTTGGCATGAAATGAAGGCAAAAAGGCGTTTGGACACAAACAATGGGGTTTTTTATACCAAAATGAAGGTACTTCCTACTATTTTGTATAGCTGAGTACCCCGCACTCTTTCGTTTTTTTATTTACTGCCTCACGAATGATTACAATCGATTGTAAGGCACGCTCGCGTGCCGCAACCGACGCCGTGCTAATCTTTGTAGTTTTTGGTTTGATACGTTTTGTTACGCGTGGGGTTATTCAGATACTTATTTAAATAGTACAGTTATATACTTAAATGCATAAGCTTATCTAAGTAAATAAGTGCTTATAAATAAATAATATTGTAGCTTAACTATTGTGAATTAATAGTTGTGAATAGATATTTACAATGAATGGATCACAGTACCCAAGAATAGAGTTACAAAACCTTCGCTTACCACTGCTAAAGAAGCTGTTTGAATGAATTTTCTGTCAGACACCTAGGTAATAAGGTTTAGCTACCAGGGGTAGACGCCGTGCTACCAACGGTCGTCATGTTTGTGTGTTGTTGTACATGATAATATCGTGTTGTCCGTTGAGACACCGGTGAAACACGATGATCATGGCGTAATTCACACATATAAAACAACTGTCGTAAAGCAACAAATATGATGTCGTCAATGCACCTCAAACGATAGTATTTTGGTTATTTTTGCACTTTATTTCTAAAATACCTAAATCTTTGGACTGGGCCGGTTGGACTTGCCCAGAACATCTCGGACGCTGGTTGGACTATGCAACATGACCAAGTCCATTACTCGAGAATGTTAGCATAAATTTCGCCAATCAGTAGCAGGGGTTGAAGAATGCGATCCACTGAACAAGCAAGGCATGACAGAATTGTCAGACCTTCCCTAGCCAATAGTAACCTATCCTGTTTTTTTGAAAGAAAGTCAGCAGGGGTCGGAGGTATTTCAAAATACCTGGAAACTACAATAATCTATTATACATAGCTTATTTTTTTATATGCAATTCTAACTCCCATATTTTTAAAATAAGCCCAATAAAAACAATCGCTTTTTTTAAAAGAGAAAGAAAAAACAGAATAAACAGCATAGTCACAGAGTCACTAGCATAGTCTTAGTGATAAATATTTACCTGAAATTCTGAAAGTGTAGTGAGTGTACACTACAGTGGTCAATGTACTCCTAGAATCGGTAATAGAATATAAGAGTTAAGACTCTACTTGATGCACTCTTGTTATTGTAATACAATACAGCAATCGATTCAGCTTCGGCATCCGATCATTCCGACATTCCACTGTCATAAATTTTTAACCCCGGTTTTTTGTATTCTATAGAATTTCAATGACATTTTGTTTTTGTAGAAAGTAAACATTTCTATTTAGAAATTATAAATACTGTAAGTATGTATGTATGTTTTCTTTTATATTTTGTTTTTAAACAAAAATGTTATTATATTTCGACTTTACTCTTGAGTCGTCTAGTGTCCACTGTACTGAGTACTGAGTACTGACGATTTAGAAGAGTGACAAATAGTAAATACTGACTTCTCACTTCTGAGTTCTGACTTTAGCATTAGAGTAGTGAGTGTAACTGTAAGTGTAGTGTATCACTGTATTTACTGTCTATTTAGACTGTGTATGTAGCGTGTATGATACTGATCTGGTATAAAATAAATACATGTAGGAAAGTTTTTCATGTATAATACATATCCTACATGTAGGAAAATAATACGCATGTATTATAGTTTACTACATATATAGTACATTAAATACATATAATACATATTATAATACGTATGTGGCAATTCTGGTGGGGCCACTGTCCGTTAGCTTTTTGGCGTCTTTTCTACCAGCTGTCTGAGACTCGTAGGAAACTGATATAATACATATATACTACATGAGATTTAAAACATCTAGGAAAGTATTTGATGTATAATATGTATCCTACACGTAGTAAATAAAAAATACATTGGTTTTCCAGGTATGATATCACTGTATTTAGTATTATTTACTGTGTACTGTACTACTGTGTAGACTGTAATGTGTACTGTGTAGACTACTCTAGGAGTGTGTACTATGTCCTGGACTGCTGTAGTAGTATATGTAGTCAGTACTCTAGGAGTGTGTACTATGTCCTGGACTGCTGTAGTAGTATATGTAGTCAGTACTCAGTAGTCAGTAGTCAGTAGTCAGTACTCAGTAGTCAGTACTCAGTACTCAGTACTCAGTACTCAGTACTAGTCAGCAGTGTACCAGAAATATTATTTTTCTCGAGAACTATCGAGAGTTGCCTCTACGAAATACTCATTTACGCTAGCCTCCCTGCTAGAGAGTAGTAGAATTATAGTTTTTTTCAATACAAGATAACAGATCTGATATCATATTCATATATATCCAAATTTAAAGTTCAACAAATAAAAAACAAAGGTGAGACGCTACATTTACATAAATATTCTGCCCTGGATTATGGATTCTGGCGATATTCGTAAATAATATTTTTTTAACAAAACAAAACAAACAAAATAATAATAAAAATATATCAAATATTTAATATTTTGGGAATATTCGAAAAATGTCCATGTTTATCTATGTTTTTACTTCTGAAGGATGTTTTTATCTTGACAGTTAATGTTTCTTTTGCTTCTTGTTTTATTAAAAAACAAAACAAAAATAAAATGAAATATGTTTTTTTTTAAACAAATATATATAAATAAAACTATAAATATTATATATTTATATAAAAATATGGCTCATATAAAAAAATAAAAGGTTATTTTTATTTATTATAATTATTCAAAACGCAACGGTCATAGTAAATATTTGTCAAAACTCACAAACAACCACTTACCACGCTCGCGAGTCGCGACCACAATACTCATTTAAAGGGCGCCAAAACATGATGCTGCATCTGATTCCTGTCGTGCTGGTCTCCGTATGTGTTGCCGTAGAAGGTGTCTGCACATCGAATAGTTTTTACCTGAGCGGTGCAGATGATTACTTCGGGATTTCAGTAGGTACAAGTGGAGCTCGCACAATCGATGGTTGTTACAAGGAACTAGATCATTTAACAGACACAATCGGGTACTCTAAATTCGGAGCTTATGAAGATGGACCTGTTCTGGCGAGCATAGAGTGGAGCCCCTCTGTTGGACACGTCTGGCTGATGTACCATTACGAGGCCGAAATCAACGCTGAATTTGGAAATTTTCTTTCCGGTGTAAGTGAGCTGATATTGTACGCTATGAAGCCTGAAATCCACCCAGCCGACCAAGAAGCTTGGTACCAACAGGTCGGGCGTTCTCCTGTTAATATTACGGATGAACTATCTGTCGCGTGTGGATGCAATGTTTCTCCAACTCCGAAACCAGTTCTTCCTAAAGGTGTCTGTAAATCGAACAGTTTTTACTTGAGCGGTGCAGACGATTACTTCGGGATTGCAGGAGGTGTGAGTGGAGCTGGTGCACTGGATGGTTGTTACAAGGAACTAGATCAATTATCGGATACAGTCGGTTACTCTAAATTCGGAGGTTATGAAGATGGACCTGTTCTGGCGCGCATAGAATGAAGCCCCACTATTGGAAACGTCTGGATGATGTACCAGTACGAAGCCGAAATCAACGCAGAAAAAGGAGATTTCCTTTCCGTTGCGAGTGATTTGCTCTTTTACGCTGTGAAGCCTGAAATCCACCCAGCCGACCAAGAAGCTTGGTACCAACAGGTCGGGCATTCTCCTATTAATATTACGGATAACCTGTCTGTTGCATGCGGATGCAATGTTTCGCCAACCCCGAAGGCAGTTTCGGTTACAACCGACCAAGCATCTTCCTCGTCGGGTTAAAATAACTCTTACAATTCTGCCTTTTGATACTTCGCAATACCTCTGGAATACAGAGTTTGAAGTTCCTTTCCGAGCATTATCTTCGAGGGGGATATTCACGTGTGTGAATACCTAGACATCCTTAGCAATTTGGTCCACCTTTGACATTATATATTTGTTTGGTGCCCACCTTAACACACACATCTCCTTTGTTATTTATCTCGGGAAGTATATCTCGGCTCGTGCATCCATATTAAAAACAATTGTGTAAAATCACTATCATCCATGTTATACTGTTGCTCTCCTCCTGTATTATCTACTTTTGCTGACCATTGCTTATTTCGTGGACAATACTGGAGTGAAGATTATGGTAATTGGTGTATTTTAAAGGTTTTGATAGTGTGCTTCCTTCATACAATATTTGAAATCAACACGATAGTTTTGGACGCCTTAGTCCTTCTACACTTGATATTAGTTGCATGCGCTCATGAAGGTTTTTTCTCGATGCTCCCCATGATATCACACAGAGTGTGCTTATATTTCGATTTTCGATTTTCTCGAAGTTTATACGATAGGTGAACACTGTGCACCCATGGATTCGTTTCCATACCAGGCTCATGGCTGTGGTATACGAATCTCCTACAGTTCTACAATCTACATCTGTATATTTTCATTGAGTAAATATTTAAAGAAGGGCCCCATTTTGACTCCATCAAGCCTTAATGAGCCTATGGGACAATGACTTATGACCCGACTTTGCCTTTTTAGTTTTTGTTTTTAGGGAGCCAAAGACTCTCAGAGGACAAGGGACAAAGGGTCTTTGGGTATTTTACTCGATAATTGAATACATACGTCATAGGTGTGACTAGTTTTCTTCGACCAGGGTCACAGTGACACAGTGTCACACAGACAGGGACACATAGACTGTTAGACACAGTCCCAGTCTTACTCATGATGAATGTAAATACTGATATGATTTATTTTTAATTCATCATTTATCATACTGTTTAGCTTGAATACCACTACCAGGCTTTAAGTTTATTAGTCTACCAGTTTAGAGTTTAAATATACGTCTACGAGTCTACTCTAGTCTACCACTCTACCAGTTCTGCAATCCTTCAGTAAATATCTTCCAGACTTTCGGTGTTACATAGCATCATAACGCACGCCAAGCAACCTCGAATCACTCCCTAACAGTGGAACATCAAGAGGACAACACACAGCACTGAAACGGGTATGGATAGCATGTCAGTTGAGAATGTCACGACTTCGGTCGTCGCACTGAATGACGGTAGAAGTATACCTACCATTGGCTTGGGAGTATATCAAGCTGAGCCCGACGATACATACAGGGCAGTCACCGCTGCTTTGAAATGTGGATATAGACACATAGATACTGCCCAGCTTTACGGCAACGAGATGGACGTAGGTAGGGCCGTCAAGGTAGGATATCTGATTCTGAGAGACGTATAGCACATATGTCGAACTTAAGCTATACTTAAAGAGATGGATTTAACTTTGGTATACACCATTCATTTATGAACATATG